TGTGTTACCTTGTGTACCTGTATTATCTCCCCCTGTGTTACCTTGTATACCTGTATTATCTCCCCTGTATACCTGTATTACCTTGTGTTACCTTGTATTATCTCCCTGTGTTACCTTGTTACCTGTATTATCTCCCCTGTATTGTCTACCTGTATTATCTCCCCTGTGTTACCTTGTGTACCTGTATTATCTCCCCTGTGTTACCTTGTGTACCTGTATTATCTCCCCTGTGTTACCTTGTAGTACCTGTATTATCTCCCCTGTGTTACCTTGTATACCTGTATTATCTCCCTGTGTTACCTGTAAGTTACCTTGTATGTATTATCTCCCTGTGTATTACCTTGTGTACCTGTATTATCTCCCCCCTGTGTTACCCTATACCTGTATTATCTCCCCTGTGTTACCTTGTGTACCTGTATTATCTCCCTGTGTTACCCTGTATTATCTCCCCTGTGTTTACCTGTATTATCTCTGCTGTTACCTTGTTGTATACCTGTATTATCTCCCCTGTGATATCTTGTATACCTGTATTATCTCCTCTGTTATCTTGTATACCTGTATTATCTCCCCTGTTATCTTGTATACCTGCATCATCTCCCCTGTTATCTTGTATATCTGTATTATCTCCCTGTTATCTTGTATACCTGTATTATCTCCCCTGTTATCTTGTATACCTGTATTATCTCCCCTGTTATCTTGTATACCTGTATTATCTCCCCTGTTATCTTGTATACCTGTATTATCTCCCCTGTTATTATCCCCTATATCTTGTATACCTGTATTATCTCCCCTGTTATCTTGTATACCTGTATTATCTCCCCTGTTATCTTGTATACCTGCATTATCTCCCCTGTTATCTTGTATACCTGTATTATCTCCCCTGCGTTACCTTGTATATCTGTATTATCTCCCCTGCGTTACCTTGTATACCTGAATTATCTCACCTGTGTTACCTTGTATACCTGTATTATCTCACCTGTGTTACCTTGTATATCTGTATTATCTCCCTTGCGTTACCTTGTATATCTGTATTATCTCCCCTGCGTTACCTTGTATAGCTGTATTATCTCCCCTGTGTTACCTTGTATACCTGTATTATCTCCCCTGTGTTACTTTGTATATCTGTATTATCTCCCCTGTGTTACCTTGTATACCTGTATTATCTCCCCTGGGTTACCTTGTATACCTGTATTATCTCCCCTGGGTTACCTTGTATACCTGTATTATCTCCCCTGCGTTACCTTGTATATTTGTATTATCTCCCCTCGGTTTCCTTGGTTCCCTGACGTATCAAGGAAACACAAGGCCCGAGATGTTCCATTCTTATTTGCCCGCAGAAATTCAATGAACCAATAGACCCCCTGTAATCACTTCCCCTTGGAATGGATCTTCCTTGGTCTGTCTATTGTCCCAGAATCTGAGGCTTCTGGACAGAAGACATTTCCAAACCAGTTACTGATATCATATCACTAGCGCGGAAGCCCGTGGCGTGATGAAGTGTGAAGAATATCAGCCACACTAACCTGAGAGTATTTTATACCAAGATAGAAATGCCTGTTTTATCTGACATGAAGTCTATAATACATGGATCAGACATATAATTTTGCGTCCCCAGGATTAACAGGGTAAATTTTCTGAATCCGTTTTGTTGCGATCAAGATGCAACTGGCTTAACCATATAGACAAGTGCCGGTTCCAGAGACGCACCTGCACTCAGTGCACTTACACCGATGTTTAAACTGCCAATTACGCTCTAGCCGGCTGTCCATGTTTGACCAGTGACGGGCAGATGGCGACTCGGGTAGGTCAACTCAAGTGCCAGGGAAGATGACACCTCTCCGTCACTGAATCTAGGAACAATGCTCCGTATCAGTTTCTGATCTGCTCCAGACACTTGTGGAGCTGCAAATCACTTCAACTGCACAAATAAATCCCGTGATAGACTAACATTGGCCAAAATATCTAATTACTGTCAAACAGCGACCAAAAAGTCAGTTAGAGGGTTTAGTGGACTACAGCTCCACACAACGAGTTCCAGGGGATGGTCAGCCGGTCCATGTGCTACAAGTACTACAAGTGATACAAGTGCTTGTTGCATCTTGTCATGGAGGTCCAGACAAATTAGGTCCTCCCGGTTAGTTTTTGTGAGGAAATCGAGTTTCCGAGCAAAACAGTTGGCAATCTCAACACTTGACAGCTACCAACAAGGCGATAAAAAGGTCACCGAACAAATTTACTTAGAAACCATGAGTAGACTTGAAAAAAAATGATTTAACCAAACTGGCAGTTGCATTGGAATTACTGAAAAACTTAACATTGGGTTAGTGTAAAACTCGAAACATTCACGAGTTACGAAATAAGCGGTGTTTTTCGTGTAATCGATTTTCCTGACGAATTGCATGGTAGCACATAGACAGGAAAATATAAAAAAACATGCCAAAAGTTAATAATTTTGTCAAGAAGTTCGTGTTTAGGAGATTAAGGGGATGTCGTTTTTGGATTAATTGACCTCCGATGATCGAGTTCTCTTGAGAAATCTGAAAGAATTTTCGTCATTTTCTTTTCTGCCTTTCAATCAGTCACCCAAATGAGTATTCCTGGGAGTAATTCCTCCCCACGACAACATGCTACTATTACAGGACGTATGATTGACATACACAAATATACGTATAATTGTTTATGACCGAGGTTACGTCAAGTATCTTCATAGTGACCATGTGCCGATAACTGGCTCCAGATCAAGAAATTACCCCTTCTACTGAAAACACCTAACTCTTCTATTTTCCAATTTCTGTAAAATTCTCTAACTATATTCCACCCAATTTACCTTGTCTCTACTTCAGGGTTAATAAGACTACTGGCTAGCTGTCTACTTCATGATGGCTCCAGAACGTTTATAATTTTTTAAAACTACGCCAGGGGACAGTTTCGATTGGTTCTCTTATCCAACATCTACTGCTATTGATTTGTGAAAGTTAAATTTAAAAGACATCTCTCTGCTATTAAAACCTCGTGCTCTGAACATGAGACATGTAGGATGCTGCGGAAACTGTATGTTACATCCACTTGTACGTAATCAATCAGTCACAAGAAAAAGTGGTCTTTCCCTACATATTTGTCTTGAGAATATGTAAAGATCAATGTTTAAGACATAAAAATATGACTGACCATAACAGTGGCATAGAATTTGAAAGTTACTGTAATTGATAAATTTCAGAAATGTCGCCAGTTACTTCTGGCACTGGAGTGAATGAGAGTGAGTGAGTGAGTGAGTGAGTGATAATTATACGGGCAGGTGCTACTAATGTGATCGCTTGGCACGCGTGCGTTCCATAGTTTCACGAAAAATATGGTGCCAACAAATGGTCTTGTGGTTTAAATTCTCTAGATTAAAACGTCGACAACAATTCAGAGCATGTTTCCTGACAGATGTAATCCTATATATGATGTATGTATCTGTTAAAGCGAAAGACACTCATCCCTGGCGGGCCGTACCAACAACTCCAAAATAGTTTCAAACATATAAAATCTCCACTGGGGTTTTCCCGCTTCAGAATTCATTATTCATTTGTGTTTTGAAAATATCCACATCTGTTTCTGAGAAATATTCTGCGTTGATAAGACAATGGTTACTCTGTAAAATGTTCATATTCCGTAAGGGTTTGCAAACTGGATCAACTTATTTAACTTGACCTCTGCATGATGCACAGTATAATCCTGCTATCGATAATGGATTCCGAGAATATTGTACCCAATGAAACCCAGATTGACCCTAAAACGTTGACTGTAAACGTACATGTTATATTTCCTAACAGCGCGTCTGACAATATATTTGTGTGTAGTAAATTACGTGTAGAGTGAGTGAGTGAATTTAGTTTTACTCCGTTTTTAGCAATATTCCAGCAATATCACAGCGGGGGACACAGGAAATGGACTTCACACATTGTGCCCATGTGGGGAATCGATCCCGGGTCTTCGGCGTGACGAGGGAATGCTTTAACCACTAGGCTACCCTACCGCCCTTATTACGTGTAGAAGGTATGAAAATAACAGTGGACAGATCAAGTCTTAATGGAAGACTGCCTGTACCTTAACAGTTCAATTTCTCCCGTTTCTGTCATATTGATGCTGTGTTTTCATTAGTGTAATCTCGACGCAGTTGTCGCCCAGACGTTACCAGCCAACCAAGCATTGGGGGATAGTTTTGTCATCTTCTACACAGCGGCAAACTGTTCGTTGAGTGATCAAAATTGAAGTACCGACAACAATGTTAAGAACTGACCACCTTTCTTGGCCCAAGTATAAAGTGGAACAATATTTTTTAAGTTTCCTCAGAATGAAAATCGGTGAGTTGAAATTGTTATGTAATGTTTTGAATGCATAAAGAAACCCATGGCTTTCATGAGATGTAAAACAGCACTTCACCGAAAATATAACGAAACTATCTACTCCATTTCGGTTTCAGAAAAACTAAATTCTTGTTGAGAATAAAACATCCTCTAATCATTATGGTCGATCTATAGAATATATTGTATATGTAAAACCCCAAATAATTCGTCACGAATAAAAACATTTATGCCCCCAAAATACCGTTCCTGCAAATATAATAGCTGGTCCCTGATAAGATTGTTACATGCGAGGCAGTAATAATACGACAGCTCTTATATGCCCCTGGGCCCATGGTATGAAAGTATTTATGTGTAATGATCATTTATACTTGTCACAGCATTAAAACGAATTTGTCCTTGAATCATTCAGGGATCAATTCTTTTAACACAACATAAAAAGAATGATTTTCCATGTTGGAATACGTGAGTAAAAAGTATTACAGTACGAAAATATGATTTATCAATTTGCAAACCTTTTCCGAAAAATCGTTTGAAACTGCGTTAAATGTACCCGTGCGCTAAAATGTGGGTGCTCATTTGAGGATGTGTACATGCTAGTAACAAAAGACTTACTCATGGACTAGTCCATGAATTCATCATCCTCAAACATACCGTCAGATTGCGTACCAGAATCAACTCTCAAGGCGGAAGCATTGTTAGGTTTGGTGAAGGCTGCCTTGGCCATCATGGACTGACGAACGTTCCTCTCGGGGTGTAGAAGGATTATGTACAGTTTGGGGGTGAACATACATACAAGCGCAACTGTGGCGCTGAGGCTGATGGAGAAGCACATGGTGGCGAGTCTCATTTGAATATTACTGGCTGTCGTGAAGTAGATGACGACAAACGCTAGCCATATGATACATGTCGTATACATAGTAAACCCGATGTATTTGGATTCGTTGAAGGCTTCTGGTATTTTGCGTGTGAACAACGCGTAAAATGTACATACTGTCACTAGAAGAATGGGATATGAAAAGCCTATCATATAGGTGTATCCTACAGCTCCTTCACACACTAACTGATGGTCGTCTCTGTTGGAGTAATAGGGTATAGACTTAGGCGGGCTTATCAGGAGCCACACGAGTCCGATGAGTATCTGGACACACACTAAACTACCACATATGACCAGCTGAGATTCAGGACTGATGAATTTGGGTCTTTTCACTGTCCTCTTTCCAGCTCGAAATATCCGAGATATTCGGTTCGTCTTTGTCAAAATGGCAGAGTAGCATACGGAAAAACAAAGCCCCATTCCTATCTTCTGAGTTCCACATGTATACGTCATGGGCTTCGACACCAATACGAAGGTGATTGCATAACAGAAGAGGATACCGCCCAGAAGGACGAAGCTGAGCTCGCGGCCAGACGCCTTGACCACAGGAGTGTCACTGTAGATGAAGAACACCAAGGCGACTAGAGATGAGCCTATCACTCCCAGGGAGGCGAATGTCATTGCAGCAATGGCGATTCCGTCATGGTATTGCAGATAGCGGGGAGGGATCTCAATACATTCGTCTTTCAACCAGGATGGTAGCGTGCCCCATGGACATTCAACACATGCGTCCTTGGTAGGAAGGTATTGGTACTTGTTGCAGGGGCTACACATCCAGCAGCACGGGTCTCCTTCGAATGGGAGTCTTGCCTCGTAGAAGGCGCATGGCTTGTTACAGACGGACTCGGGGTGGCTGGGTTCTTCCACCCGGAACTGGAGGGGGGATGTCTGAAAGGGAAGATTGAAATCATGGTTAGAGAGAAATGATTGCATCACGTTTTCACGAATTTACTCACGAACAAGATGACTTTAAAATTTAAAGAATAGTCTATATCCCATACCAAACTCGGTCAGTATCTATCCAGGAACGTTCTTAGAAATTAGTTTGGACAAAACACAACCTGAAGGCAGTCATGAAGCTTGGGTACATATTTTACTTGTATCTCCTAATCAAATGGTATCTAATTTCTGTTGCACATTAATTACGCTGACGTATCGGTAGTAGACCAAGCAACAGGTCTTCGTGTTGCAGGGCCAGTCAATGCGGGCCAGAGTATCACGGGGGAAGCGGAATTATCTGAAAATGACTGAGATGTTCCCCCTTCTGTGTGAATAGAAGTATACCTGTTAAAATGTCTAACTAAGTACAGGAGCGACTGCATTCTCAGCGTTATGGTCGCTTTGTTGAATATGGATCTTAAAGGCCAAGGTTATCAGTGTAGGCGCACTTTTCTTCTGTTTATATCAACCACACTTTCTCGGACCAATGGGAGGTTTGAAGATTACAAGGCTGATATCGGTTTACGGAGTCCAGTACTAGAATTCTCGTTATGCATACATGAATACACACAGTGATACTCTTTCTTACTACAGGAACACTGTTGAAAGATCCACCAAGTCCTATTTATTCTGTGGCTCAAAGGGCTGGTTTTGTTCGTCGCAGTACAAGATTAAACACTCAACATGTTTTTCATCCACACACGACAGACAATTACGGGAACAATTGAATGTGAGTGAGATTCTGTCAGATTGTTTCAGTCCTCGCTTGCTTCAAGTGAAGGGCCGTCACATCACATGAAGCTGGACGGGAAGATAAAAGGCAGAGGAAGGCTGTAAGCACCACCCAGGTCTTGTAGACAGATGAGTATTCGATACAAATGTCAATCTTGATCTCCTGCACTGACACGAGTCAACAGGTTCCAGTAGATGCCGAGTGGCACTTCCTGTCAGTCCAAGTGCAGTTTGGGCGTCCTGGACATGGCAGCGACATACTGTCTAAAGACGCAGTGGGCCGTGCAGCGTTCAGAATATGCCCACCCACCCGTGATTAAAATGGGTGGAATATATCAGACTTGTCTCTCACTTAGCAGGAAGCCCTTTCTGTGATCTAGTGGATAGAGCTTCTAGCCAGGGAGCTGGGGGTCCAGCGGACAGCCACATACATACCGGGCTACCGGGCTACCCTGTACGGTAATAGGCTTTGCAAGTTATTAAAAACCAATGTCTTGTTTTCATCAGCTTAGTGCACACGTATTTTGAGACGGGAATGTGTTCAGGGATGGCCCTTGATAAGCAATGATCCAATGATTAATGTTTCTAAGTGATTTCACGCCAGTCGATTAGCCAGCATAATGCCCGATTACGTTATATATTCGTTTATAACATCTCTATATCTCTATCAAATAACCATTTGACAGACATCAACTGCACTCAAGCCTGAACTGCGTGTGTGATGACACAACTAAATTACTTCAACTCAACCGTGTTATTATACAGACGGTAAACAGTTACAACATCTCTTTTATCGACTTGTATCGCCTTACAGGCGTGAAGAGTTACCTCCCCCTGCTGTGATATGGCCTGTAAATCCACATCTGATCAAACATCATCCATTTTAAACAAGCAATTTACATTTAGTGAGCGTTATAAATTATTTTGTAATGTTCCTTTGAGACAGAAAGCTATCGTATGGCTATTGCTGTGGGCGCTCTGTTGTTACTAGTAAAGTTTGATTTGATTTACACATTGTTTGGTAGTTTGAAACATCTCCCTCCGTTGCTTCTTTGGTTCCGATTGAGAAAAGGGCAGGGGAAGAATTGACTTTGCTGGCTGATGGTCTCCTAGTCCTCTGTCTATTTCAGCGTAACCAGATTACACAAGCAGACCGAGATTGTCTAGGGGGCAGAATACTAATTGACCGCTGTGGGCGGATAGAAGCGACTTTTAAAGCATTAGTAACGGGCAACGGAGATCTATTGGAAAAAGCGCCAAGGGGCGTTGATTGAACATCCGAGTGTTAAAAAAATTCATTGGTAAAATAACGCAGAAGGTAAAGTTGTAAGTGATGAATTAGCAGATTGGGATAACTGTGGAGATGTGTCGTGATTTAATATTTGTGGAATTGAATAATGATGAATGGTTGAAAAAAGTAAACATATATACATATGACATGATTTGTTTTCAACTCATTGTCCTGAATCAAGGATACTATCAAAAGGACACTGAAATGTGTTTTTATGTATGTATTTCCACATCGTGACTTGTTGCTTAATCATAATCAGTGTCAGGGTCACAGCTACCTCTATATCTAATGCATGTATTTACACTACGAGCGATAGGGTTTGTAATTAGAAGAGGACTTGAGTAAACATAGCTGACCTTCCAACTTCACAGAATTAATGGAAGCACATGTTATTCCAGTGCTCTATGACGGAGTAATTAGCTGTTCAGAGTTGCGGCCCTGGTGTGTGCCAGAAGCCCACGGTTAGATTCCAAGAATCGTCCTCATCATGTTCCTGTATTTATCTCCTCTATTCCGGTGCCTGTGGGTTTGACCACGTGGTACACGCCCAAGACATTCATCACTCCGCATGTTACCTGACTCGCCGTTATAAAACTGACATACTGTTCAGAGCGGCGTTAAACACAACTCACTCACTCACTAACAAACGTATAGGCACTGAACAGTTGTGGAATAGGTTGAACGTGATACATGTCTTCTCACGTCACCGAAGACCTGGGTACAAAACTGACACCGTATCACTCGCATCATCAATTAAGTGAAACTGGTTCTTCCACTCGAAGACTTACGATTGTCAGATTGCCGTCCCGGAAGTAGCCGACGGTCGCCCATTCAAAGTGACCTGCGTCATTCCGCCGGAAGTTGAGGATGCGATATCGCGACGGGCCGTCGCCATTGGACAGAAACTGGAAGTGTTGTCCGGATAAACCTGTAGCGAAAAAGGTATGACATGTATAGCCTGGAAGAACATCAGTGTGAGGGGAGCCGGGAGCCGGGAGAAGGCTTGAGAAGACACAAAACCCATGAACGTTACAGGAAGACATTACACCACTTAGCATGATCGTTCAAACACTCTTCGTTTCTCTATTTACCACTTGAGAGTAAATGTTCTTTTACAGCAAAGTAAACCTATCACGACGGTCTGTAAATAATCAAATAAATTTTAATTCGAGCACACCACCCCTAATTCACCTAACGCCGGGACATTGTGGTGTTTCTACACACCTCCCCTTATTCACCTAACGCCGGGACATTGTGGTGTTTATACACACCGCCCCTAATTCACCTAACGCAGGGACATTGTGGTGTTTATAATTCACCTAACGCAGGGACATTGTGGTGTTTCTACACACCGCCCCTAATTCACCTAACGCAGGGACATTGTTCTGTTTATAATTCACCTAACGCCGGGACATTGTGGTGTTTGGTGTGATGATAGACAATAAAGGCAAATACACGCCACCCTGAACTTGACTTGTCAACATGATAAATTAGAAACGATGTAAATGATTGACTTCTATTCCAATTAAACGTCTTCTCCAGATCTAAAAATGGATGTCTGGCTTCAATATCGGCACCCGCAATACAATCAAAAAGGACGAATGACAGGCAGACCAGACAGGTCACGTGATGAGAGGTTCCTATGACAGCGCCGAGGAGAAAAATGGGTTCATTTGCTGCAGTCTGGAGCAGATAAAATTAATTTTCGTGTCCAATTCTGTTTTCATAATTATACAATTTAAAACTTAACACAAATCGGCAGGGAAAGATGGTCAGATGTCTGTCGACAGTCGTCACGTGACATGCTGACTGGGATCCTCATTACTGACAAAGCGTCTGAAGAACATGTTCTTGGTGTCACTTTTTGAACGGATACGGCGAGTCGGTTTCAACCAGAGGTCAGCTCGAGTAAGGTTACATTCATTTCAATTTGAACCCCGAGAAACGTCCATTGGTCAAGCCTGGGGTTATTTGGTTCGTTTAGAATCAGTACAAAGTGTCAAAGACCCTAGAGGTTAAGACAGGTTAGGTTAAGACACCCTTCCTGCTTCTGGTTCCAAACTAAATGAGCCACATGAGAGATGCCTTGTGATGAGAACGTTCTCGCTGAGGACCCTGTTTCACTGCCTGGATGGGTACAATATATATATCCTGGGGTCCCAATCCTCATATTCCTTGTACATTGGGTACAAGAGGCGGACACCTACAGTCTAATAATACCAAACTGGTCCATTATCACCATGCCATCCATATGATGTTCATACACTCGGCTACGTAGTTCTAATCTATGTTCGACCCCACCATGTATCCTGACCTTTCACCGCCATGCTGTTTATATACACATGGAAAGTATCGCAACACTTTTCATAGTATCATTGTGTTACCATTCACCATAGCAAACGAACTTACCCAAACCACAAGTTAACTTACCATGTGGATATATTGACCCTGAGGTGAGGTGAAATTGGGTTTAACGTCGTGCTTGAGAATATTTCGCTCTTATGACGACGTGCATGCGTGTGTGTGTGTATTTGCGGCTGCTTGTACTAGCCCAGACTTAAGCTGGTTTTATAGTGCTAGCCCACTGAGATACCATGCCGCAGTGAAGCATGAATACCCCACTCAGACACATTATACTGACTCCGAGCCGACCAGTCCTTGTTGTACCCATTAATGCCGAGCGCCAGGCAGGGACCAACAAGTACCATATTTTAACGTCTTTTGGTATGACGCGGTCGGGGATCGAACCCGCGACCTCCCGCTCTCCGGGCGGACGCTCTAACCACTACACCACGGAGGCGGTCGATATTGCCCTGAATATATATTGCAAATTCAAGCGCTTAAAGAACAACACAATACTGTAGCATATTAATAAAAGCAAACAGGGCAAGACATTGACTAATTTTGTAGTGCTGATAACTATGTTCGTATGACGTTAACAGTGTGGTCAGTTTCAAGATTCCTCAAGAGATCACATACGGTTTAATAACCGAGCACAATCCCAACATCTGTGTACTCAGCCAACTGCAGTAACAGCCCTCACCCCCCTCATTGACGGTATCATACGTTGAATTTGACGTTTAGGTGTTTCTCTCTATTCTTGATAGAGGATTTGTCCCAATACATTATGAGCTTGTACTGGAGGACCTTTCTGGCGTATTCTGCGATCTATAATTTCCCGAAATGCTCTATGGATTTAGATCCGGACTCCTCGTGACAGATCTAGAGTTGCTACCGCGTCTTGACGTAAGACACAACCAACGACACGTGTACCATGTGGCCTAACATGCAGTTTGGCCTTGTGTTCAGAGGAAGGTCATAGGAATGTGATACAACAATCCTGTCTAGGATGTCAGTGATGTACCGTTGTCAATTCAAATTTAGTCTGATTGTTACAAGGTCAAGTTTACAGTCAGGTGAGAGGCGCCCCACACCATCAATGAACCACGCCTATGGTACTTGATTCACGATAAGCATAATTATGCAGTGTTTCTGTCGGCCATCAAAATAATTCGACTTTCGTCCAACCAGTGAACTCTTCCCCATGACCCCATTGACGCCAAGCTGGTCGTGCTGCTTTGTTTTCTGGGATAACTAAGGACGTATGATAAGACCTCAGGTCCTATACTCGGCCGATTTTAGGTGATTTCGGACCGTTCTGTTGGACAAACGAAGCCTCTTGACAGGAACGGATGACGTTTTCTGATCATGCGACGGGCTGCATCCTCTCTAGAAGTTGTCACTCGTGGTCGAACTGCACACTGACAGTTCTTAATGTCAGTAATTTGCGGATATGTTTTGGCCAGGCGGTTAAGAGTCGATTGATAATAACCAATAACCCTGAATGACATGCCAGCATTCCGTATGCAATAACATGTCATGTTTGAACAGTTGTGAGTTGAGGAGACCCATATTTGAAATCAATTGATTTTCCAAGTGAACGATCTGTAAGAACAGTTTACTGAAACTTGATATTTGCTGAATAACGGGTACAAGTATTGTACGTGATACTCACTTTTGATCGTTGCACGTACATAGCTCGAAAGGTCAAAATAATAACACAAACAACCTTGTGTTTGTGGGTATTAAAACTCAGAGGAGTTTCGATGCTGTTTTCCATTCGTATATTTCGTGAAATGGCATGTGCAACTTTTGTCTATCCTCATACATTTAACACGTCGTGAAGTAATATAACTGTTCTAAACGAAACTCTCTGACTGAATCTTCAACAGGATCAGTACCAATAGACTAATATAGACCCATGTTAAAAGAGCTTCTAGTTATAGTGATTGCAAACTAGGATTATGTCTGCCGCATTGAACTCATAATTAATAATACTTAATTTGATTGTTATTAAAACAACACGGTCGCCTTCAGAAAATAGCAAAGAATCTGACCAATGGTCACTAGACCAGTCGTGGACACATCTTTTCACATTAACCTATGGTCATTAGTTTCAACATAAATTACAGATTGTAAGCCTAATTTCATCTCCACTAATCCCTAAATGGTCATCGCAACCTCGTACACCGGTCTGAGAATTAGCCTGAGAAAATTGATTTCCTGGCAGTTTTCTGGTGGAATCTGACTGTCGCCTAGATGGGATGACGATAGTTCTTCAGCTTTAGTCCTCGGCTGTGTAGGAGAGGGGTGAATTTATGTACGGGCATGAAACGCACCGTCTGTCCATGCAGGAAGACTGAAACCCATCCTCTGCTTGCTAATCTAAGCGTATGATTCTAGGGGATTTGGGGGATTATTGTCTCGCCAATGCTTGTTTATTAGTCCGTTATTCTTCTGCTTCAAAATGCCTGAGGTAGAAACGTGACAAAAGTGTCTGGGTGTCAAGTGCCGGTTGCCTGGGATAAAATACACAGTCGCCATTTTCCTTTATTGATACGTAGGGAAACATTAATGGTTATTGCCTGGCGGGAAGATATGGTCTGTGACGGAGGGTGTTATCAACATCGAGACACACGGTTTAGTATCCGGGTATCAACAATATTGACGGGGCTCTGTAATTTCCAGTCTTGACGTTTTCTTGTTTGTCTGTGACAACTCTGACAGTGATGTTGGTGCCGTGCTGTCATACACGATCTAGAATCATCTTATTGCAATATGTAGTTGTTGTTATGAACATATCGTTCAGCAGTCTGTGGTATACAGGATTCCATGAACACCAGAAGCCCAATCATTGTCCAACACTGATACCAGGCACATCACTATCTGAAACACATGCTCACGCTGCAGACGGGACCGTAAGGTACAGGCTGCTCAACTCTGATTTCTGATGAGCATGGAAAAGATTTTGTCTCTTATAAATTAAGTCACAAGGATGAAATACAACGGTTTTCCACCGTAAAAGGCTTATTCTGTATGTCCCGGACTAGTTAATGAAGTCTGTGTCTCAACAAGGAATGACTAAGCCAGTTTAGAGTGAGTGAGTGATTTGGGTTTAACGCCGCCTTCAACAGAATAAAAGCGTGTCAGCTCACTGCGGGTTTACGACGACTGCACGCAAACACCCAGGTCCGTGAACCTACCACCCATTTATCGTGTGGCTATTGGAAGCAAGGGTCGATGGTGATTCCTACTTTGACACAGTTCCAGAACAACACCTTCAGAAGCTCCTTTCAGATGCGACCTCTGATCAAGGTCATTGTCTTGTTGCAGTGGTTATCTATTAATTAGACAAGCAGCAACTCTTGTCCTGGTACAGCTATAAGACCGATGTTTAGTTCTCAGATAAAGGTTCCTGTAGTCGTGATCCGGTCTGTAATTACGGCGGAAGACTCCAGTTCCTCAGCGAAGGGAACTTAAATCTCGTCATGTATTTGATATCGACAATGACAGCCAGCTGACAAGCACTTGTCAAAATGACGACTTGTTTTTGCGTTATCATTTTAGCAATGCGTGAGAAAACTCCGATTGGGAAATAAAACTTAAGAAAGGGCATCAAACGAAGGAATCAATCAAAGTTTCATCACTGTAAAAAGATTATTATTAAAAATTGTGTGAATCGTATTCTAGAGATTGATGTTTTCATGAGCTGCCACAGAACGGTTACAGGCGATGTGAGTGATGTGAGGGCCGCATTTCGCAGCTCAGCATCCAGTTACTATAGAATCAAAGGATCGTTTATTTATATCGTTTATCAAATGTCGATACAATAGATTTAAAAATGTGATTTATAGAGCTGGGTTATCAAAGACTTAAAAACACGATGAAACACTGTCATGAGATAATACTTTGATTTTCATATCAGGATTGTTTCGTGAGTCGATATCATCGTTAAGTGGTGTTTTAATTTCAAGACTTGTCAACAAACACCATATAAAATATTGACTTTTTGTCATAAATGACGGTAGAGACTGCAACATGTTAAACCAACTTGGTTCAAATTCGCGTCACCGAGTTACCGTCAAACAGACACTGGACATGGTTAATCTCTTATGTCAATATATATATATATTATATGAACCTGGAGTGCCAAGGTTCATACCACTCTTAACGCCATCCTTCGTCACGACAAACTTCGAGCGGCAATTTGTGTGATATTATGCATGTCAGCACGAGACAAATGGTATTACCCAGTAAACATTATATCCACACATGTTTATCACCCAATAAATATTAGATAAATATACGTTTCTCACATCCAATAAATAAAACAATCATGTTGTTTTAAAGCAACTATGTTGTTGTTTATGGATACATATTATAGATACATTTCCGTATAAATATCAATCCCGTATCTATTGGGGTGAGTGAGTGAGTGATGTTGACAAACACAAACAGGACAAAGATTTCAACAGCAATCGGACCTTCCCCATATAGGTTCGTTGGATTGTGCTGGTATGATGTTAATATATTTTCAAGAGAACCACGACGTCTTAATAAAAAAGATTCAGATTGACTTTATCCTAAAACGAAGATAGTCGACTCGAGCTCTCGTCTTCGGCGTGAAGAGGCATGGATTTTACCTCTTGGTCACTTTCAAATCAAAAGACACCTAATTCTTTAGCAAAAGAAAAATGAACTATAGTCTATAACCTTTCCTTTCAACTAATATTTTACATTTGAAAATACATTAAAAAACATCTCTTCAACCATCAAGCGTTTCATGTGATTTATAGATCTATTTACAAGCATGAATTGATAACATGATCCCAGTTGCATGGTTCCGTGACTCTGATGCGCACCCGCTGTACAGTTTTGGACAGTGCTATTCATGAGATATGACCTCACTGAACGTGATGCGTGACCTGATACTATCTCCGAGTACACGACTGTCAGCGCAGATAGAGGGCAAACCCGTCCTAGATATTTCTTATTTGATAGAAAAATTGATAGCCTTCAAACATCAGCTAATTTTAGTTGTACTAACGTTACAAAGCTTTCAAGGACGCTTTGCATCTATTGATCCCCGTCCACTTATCTGGGAACTAAGTGAACGACCGTAGTAAAACACTGGCGTCATGTCATCACGATATTACTCAGCTACTGGTATAAGGCCGCGTGTAACGTGATGAGCACAAGAACGTGTTTGATGGTGGCTAGAATCCTTCAAACAAGAAACGGTTATGATGTACTTGAAACAGATATCCTAGTTGTTGTAGCAGTGGGTATTTTCCTATACTAACGTCACAATAGCGTGTGTGGAACTGGTTGCGCTCAGTTTTCAAGTGTACACCTTATATACACGGCAGTGTTATATATTCGTCTATTTAAATATAATTCCACAACTGAAATTATGAAGAATTTTTCGAACTGGCTCACAAAAAACCTCGTTGTATTTTGTTGTAAAGGCATTAAAAACCCGGCGTAACTCTATCTAATGCTTCGATCTGTTCACCTCGTTCGTTTATGCTCTCAAAACCAACACCGGGACCATTACACGTCATGTGTAATTGTCAACTCAAAGCATTTGTCTCTCTATTATATTATTCTGTTGTCCCCCGCCGTGATATTGCTGGAATATTGGTAAAAGCGGCGTAAAACCAAACTCACTCACTCACTCCCTCTATTATATTATTGTCTGAGGATGAGCATGAGGGTGAAAAGCAATAAGCGTGGCCTCCCTCCCGTTGTGTGAATAGGGCGTCTTCTCGGAGAGCTGTCAATCGGCGGTTTTACCTGATATCTACGTCAAACACAAAGACGAAACTTGGTAGTCACAAAGAGTGGATCCCTGTATCTAGTTATTGTCAAACCCTCACTTTGGCACCTCATCCACGTTCCGTTTTAATTGACCCGAGGCATATTTGGGGATTATCTTGCAAATAAAGTTTTGTTGTTTAAACGCAAATGTACTGAATGTTGAAACGTAGTTAATCCAACTCTGTCTTAAAATAATTGAAGACGTATGAAAGATACTCGTTTCTTCTGCTGTGGGTTCCCCTGACACGCATGTTACCGGTTGGGACCACGTGCTGGTTGTTGGGACCACGTGTTTGTCTGTTGGGACCACGTGTTGCCTGTTGGGGCTACGTGTTGCCTGTTGGAACCACGTGTTACTGGTTGGGGCCACGTGTTGCCGGTTGGGACCACGTGTTGCAGGTTGGGACCACGTGTTGCCGGTTGGGACCACGTGTTCACCGGCTGGGGCTACGTGTTGCCTGTTGGGACCACGTGTTGTCGGTTGGGACCACGTGTTGCCGGTTGGGACCACGTGTTGTCGGTATTCCCAGGGGTCAACATTACAAACACCGATCCGCATATGATCAATCCACTCCCGAACATGAACCCCACTTAAGGCGACTCTTAGAATAACAGAGTACTTTGGACATGTGTCTGGAAGGGAAATGCTTCCTGCAACCATTGCAACGCGCCAGGGAACCAATGCACCAGTCTCAAAGCACGTCCAAACTGTGTAATCTCCGACGCCGGACTTCCTCTAACAGTGAGTGAGTATGGTTTTACGCCGCTTTTAGCAATATTCCAGCAATATCACTGCGGGGACCCCAGAAATGGGCTTCACACGTTGTGCCCATGTGGGGAATCAAACCCGGGTCTTAGGCGCGACGAGCCAACGCTTTAACCACTAGGCTACCCTACCGCCTCTACCAGACACTGTACGCCTCTACTAGACGCCTCTACTGTAACATTACCCATAGCAAAGGGTGAGTTATATCACTATTGGCTCTACTCACCGGTGAAGGACACGTTGAGCAGGTGCTTCTTGAGCAGATCGCCGTCAATGTTCTCCATGGCTGGACATATCCCCTCGTATCCTCCTCCACAGACCTGCTCCTGCACAGCCTGGGGAAACAATGAGTACTAACATGTACAGACCGGTCAGACATATAATATTGCTGTGTGAGAGTGAGTTTAGTTTTACGCCGCTTTTAAGCAATATTCCAGCATTATCAGGGTGGAGGCACCAGAAATGAAATGGGCTTCACACATTGTGCTCATGTGGGGAATCAAACCCGGGTCTTTGGCGTGACGAGCGAAGGCTTTAACCACTAGGCTACCCCACCGCCCCTGCTATGTCTGTGCGTGCAAAGCGTGCGTGCGTGTCCTTCTAAAGCAGTTCACAATCAAGCCTTAACCTTAATAGGTATATTCGCTTCATTTAAACACAAAGTATACAGGTTCGCATTCAAGATTTGAATGTCTCATTCAAATCTGTCTTCAGATACTTTTGGGAAATATACGATGTACTTGGTTCTACATCTCTGAATGGAAATGTCTCGCCGAAAGCGTATCCATACATTTTGTTATTATCTATATGGTAACAGCATAACATGGAGTCGGGTTGGAACCAGGGACAACGCTGGCAACTGGCGAAAACGCTTCGGGATTGGGGTGTTGGATTGAAACAAGTAATTGTTTGAGTTGAATTCAAGGGAAGATAGATTTAGATTTGAGAATATTTTAGTTAGGTAACTATTTTTCAATTCATGATATCCAAGATAAATATTCACTGCATATTGAAAATATCGTATTTATTTATTTATTATAATATAAAAGATATGTCATTATCGATGTTTCATTGCCATATGACAATTCAAAGTATCCAGCGTTTACTTATATGCTGGAACCCGAGAATCTGGTCCTCAGATTGGTGAGTTGACATCACCTCCGTACCAGACAGACGACGCCATGACGATGTACACGTGGCTAAGCAAGTTCACAGCACGACTTAAACCTGTCACAGTGATGTCATACCGACACCAGCTCGTTAAGCTGGAACTTTATTTGTCATTCATTTTTATTTTCAATCTCAATTCCCCAGCCTTGTCATTTTTACGACAGTTCACAGACGCCATTTTGATTTCGCAGACGGTCACGTGACTCGGAAATGATACTCGTGAAGGCAATCGGAATCCCGTGAGAGAAAAATGACAGATTTTTGACACAAAGAAATGAATTCTTGCCACATACATTCACTTGAGTGCTGAAGGGACATTAAGGTATGATTAAGGTGTATGTCTCGCTGTAATGGGGCTATTGTATAGTGGGTATAGATCCTGGCGTTATGACGTCCGTCTACCCAAATAGCATTTTTATATGTCCTTGTGAAGCCGATAGTTACATTCATATAGATTAGATGCATAGTTATTGCCTATGTAGGACTCGGTGGGAGCTGAAGTGACACTATAGAATCGTGAAATATAAAAAAATAAGAGTTTACAAAATCAAATTCTTTTCCAGATCTCACCTTATCCTGTAATGCCCACACTCTATATGATATAATGTCCTGCGTGGTAGAGGTCGCCGTAAAAATCTTCAAACTTTTTTCGCAAGAACTACTGTTTTCTGAATACGTTTTACTTACAGTGGAAAAGAAAAGTTCTTTAGTACAAATGCGTTAATGAACACGTGCATGTCTGAAAGCCATCGGTATCCAGGAACATCGAAAATACATACAAATGGAATCCAACTGAAGACGGGAATTTAGAATTTGGACAAAGCTCTCTGAATTATTAATCGTCCTGGGCTCAGTTTCGATTTTAGAGTCTCTTTGTAGATATATATTTTTGCAATGAGATAATTTGATTTCACGGACTAACAAGTATACAATATATTTAAATATTCTGTGATCACATCGATTTGAATGAGCTGCTCTAGCTTTAGTTGTTGTAGGATCTGGGTTAGCTTTTCGACTTGGGTCTTCAGAGATAGGAATGGTCCTGCACACAGTAGATATGTTGACCGTCAATAAACCTTATTGTCAAACAAGTCAATTGTTCTCAAACTACTGGAATAAATCATTGCCCCTCTGGAACTACTGAGATGTTTTCTTGACATGTTGGATGTCTTGTACAAACTTCGCGTTTTGGTAGTTATCTTTGAGAGATATCCCATCGTCACGAAACAACAAGAATCATTAAATGGCCGATCTCTAAGACGGTTGTTTCCGAATGAACTGCCACTGTGGAGACTTTAACGTTGATTAACATGAGGGCAGGGTGATGAACGGAATCCTCTGGGGCATATTATCTAGGACTCAGTGGTATCGCCCAGTGCTATCGATAAGCTGCATATCGGATGTCAACACCATTTCCGTGGAACTCTTCCTGGAAATCTTCACTCGTCTTTCGCGTACCCAAACTACCAACTGGTACTGGGAGGTCTCGCAAACTAGCTTTAATTTTTGAAAACATCAACAAGTATTGATTGAGTTCAATGCGGAAATCGCCAAGATTCTCCTTGTTCAACTGACAACGTCCGTCTGTTAAGTGCAGCTACTGACTTAAGCGTTAAAGATTTCAATGGAAGCTTGATTCCGTCACTTACAGCCGAGGTGTCTTTTGACATAAACCACAGTAATGCATCGTGTTCAGTGACAAAAGCAACAATAATCAATGGTTCAGTGAGACAACAGCATTGTGTAAGAAAACAGCTTTTCATAAATTATAATAAGGTATTTGGAAACTTGATCGACATAATACAAAAAAAGGACTTTTAAAGGACAGTGTAAACATAGACAATAGGCACACTTGTGGTGAAGATTATCACGGAACGACAGATGAATCCAGGAACGGTTTCAACTGTAATACAAAAGCAAACAAAACGATCTGCACCTACCTTTACTGCGTAGGCGAAGGCCATCACAGCATCACTGACAAACTGAAGTTGGCCTTCAAGTTCAAATCCGTTTTCTTCCGTAACCTCCTCGGTGCCGGTGCAGACTTTTGTATAATTTTCATTAAATGGCGTCCATGCACTTCCGGGATATTTACATTTGAAGTATTCCTCCCAGTACTCGACAAACCATGGGTTCCTCAGGTTGGTCTGAGGCCTTAAGTTCCGGAAGTACTCCCGGAATCCCTCCACTTCACTGGCTAATGGCTGCACGGTAATCGCTCCCTCAACCTGCGGATGAAAGATTTAGACTTGAGGAAAGGAAAGGTGTGCAAATCAGTTGCTGTCAGAATAACTCTTTTACCTACCCAGCCTAAGTCGTAGGAATCAGTCATGTTTAAATAATGGTACATAGCATAACTATATTGTAACCTTGTTTATCCGGGCACCTCGCATTTGGGATCAAATCATTTAAAGGTTGATATTATTATATGCCGTCAGGATTTATTTGCTGTCCGCCATTTCTGTAGAAGCTTCATAAATCAACTATCGATGTTACCTGAATAGCATCGAATGTGAATCGTAGCTAGGGTGAGTGACTGAGTGATTGAGTGAGTGAGTGAATGAGTGAGTTGTGTTTTCCGCCTTGTTGATAAACTATTCAGCTATTTAACACAGTGTTGGCGTATTATAAAGGGAAAACCCAAGACAGTCCGGCTGATGAGGAAAGAGTCGAATATATCTGTTTGTAATACACATATACTCATGCCAATAATGGTTGTCACACATTTCAATTTTTTTAATTGGAGAGGAGGTGTAGGGTGGGTGTGTGAGGTGTGTGTGGGGTTGGGGTGGGCAGGGGGGTGACAACCATTATTGGCATGAGTATATGTTGACTACAGTTGGTAGCAGCCTTACTGTGGTGTGTAATTGTCACTCAATACTGAAGGTAGAGGACAACGGTAGATGTCTATTTAGTTATAAGCGCATTAAGGCGTCGTCTTCTTAATATACAAGAATCTATAAGCTCAAGCGCATTAAACATATAAATCCGGTACAATCATCTGGATAAAAGAGGATGTTATGTCTCGGTATAAGACAGATTTGAAGAAAGATCCCAGTCAACAACTCGATGGCTTTAGGCGAACTCCGTCACATCGTTACCTTCGATCTGACCTGTAAACACGACCTTGACCTCCACGCAAACAACGCCTCACAGTAATTACGGCCGTCAATTACTTTTGCCTATTTCATACAGCGATCACATTGTCTGTTCAGTACATCTGATTTAAAGAGGGAACGATGAGATATAACGGGGGTATGTGGTTCACAGTAAATTGACCTTTACTAAGTATATAGAAGAAGTAAATGGTTGATTAAAATGTATGTTTTCATCTCACTTCACAGTTAAAGGATGCCCGATATCTACTCGAGAATGATTACGTATAAAAATATAATCTTGAGATCAGGCAATCAAATGAATGAAACAGGCCATGCCACACCATGTCACTACCTAATGGATGTTGACACATACTTCACAGATGATCTTTGGTTGGAGTTCCATGTGTCGGTATATGGGATTTGGCGAAATCTTCAGGCATTAAACACACTACAACGTCCCCAAACATGGAAACAATGAAAAAAAAAAAGAAAAGATTTTTCGTCATTTCCGTAGCATTCTCTGTGTGACGTCATGCATACAGAGGACATTGATGACGTCACACTGGAATGAAGGACAATGTGAAATTGCCTGGCTAACTAATACCAGAAAGGTATCAGTAGTAGGTTTTCTGATAAATAATATCACATAATATTATATAACTTGAACTCTGTTCATATCGTTATGTCTCCTGTCGATGTCCGTATTTCGGATGCCGATATTTCCGACATTACAAATATAATTATTCATAAGTCTTAATTCACCATTTCAAAGTTTCAATAAATCCAATCTTTCTGTCCGAACCGACGTCTCCCTGTATGGAAATCTGCAGACATTACAATGTACGATTACCGTGCACCAAACACGGCCAACACGGTCGACACGCCGAATTATTGTTGTCAATGATTGTTACACATGTTGGGATTCGAACCCGTTCCGAAGGTGTGAGGCGCTCTAGTTTTTCCTTCAATAGTTGGCGTTAGTTTGAGATATAGAAAGCATATAACATCTCATCCGTCCTATGCAGAAGTCATGCCATAACGCTCCACGACTAATTTATATATGTTTGTGTGATATTTAAAAGCCTGAGAAAGGTATTTTTCAAACATCGTCCAACCCATGTATACATAAGACACATGATGTTTTAGGTCAAATTTCCCCACCCACATATGTGGATCAGATCAAAGGACTCAATCCATAAATTTTGCAAATGCAGCAATACGTAAAATCACATAAGCTTAATATATCCTTTAAAAAGAGCGGAATATAACCCCCAAAATGATTTCAACTCGGAAGCCACCAAGCGGGTATAAACCAACGTTAGGACTGCTTAAATACCACAAAGAATCGATCTTCTATAGCAAGCTCAACACTGGTACCATGGTAACAATCTTTGCACAACATTTAACTTCATTTTCAAAATCCTGACAGTTTAGTCTCGTGAGTCACGAAATGTCCCGTTCGTCCTTGTAAACATCATCTCCAACCGGTTTGCCCTATGTGTTCTCATATGGGACGAGATTTTAACGGGATTCCCATCAACTTGCATATTACGAAAATAGTTCCATTGCTTTCAGACAATTTTCCGTTATTGAACCGCGAATACTAAACATGTCAGAAAGTCAATATCCTAAAGCTTGCCTTACTGAACAAATCAGACCGACCACTGTAATAATCACACTGATAAAATGATGTGTGTGCCAGGCAGGACGCCGATCTCATAACGTACAGTAAGCCTGGAGTATATGGTGCCTTTAATAGTCGAATATCCGCAGAGACAAGAACACACACACACGTTAGCATTACAGTGACATAGTCTCACATTAAACCATTAAAATGACGTCATGCTATTGTTGCTGCTGTGGACTCGCCGCTAAAAGTGTAAACCGGACCCAAATTTCGAGCATTTACTCAAATCTGGCTTTCATCAGACTGGTAAACGTTTCAGTCTTGCATTCCACACAAAGCTAGGGCGCTGTGGTATTACTGATGTGTCTCTTTAAGCGGCGTGAAGACGATCTCACTCACACAATGCATTAAATCGAGAATAACGAAATAACACTGAAATTGTACAAAACTTTATTGAATCAGGACGTCGAAAACACCGAATGTGTCAAACTTCCGCTGAAGCATGAGAATCACTCGTGCCTTAAGTACCCTGATAGAAAAACGTAACCCACCACAGCATGCAATGTCATTCGGTAAGGACCGCTGTGTTGTGTAAGTTTCGCCAAACACAGCAAATTGAAAACTTGGTGTGTTAAAGAAAGAGCATATGATGGAGGGAACATGCACGTGCCGCCTACAAACAATCTCGCGCGGTGGAGTGACAAATGCGATGTTAACGGACGAGTAGCCGCCATGTTTCCCTCTCTCATATCAGGCTATTTATCATACTTTACGAACAACACTACCTATTAATCAGAGCTGCCGATTATCACTTTTGCCTCTCCAAGCGTGGTGCGAGGATCAGCACTGACCACAGTGTCGGTCATTTTCTTTCACTTTGTCACGATCCAACACGTTCAAGGGGGCGCGTGATATAGCCACCCTGCCAGAGGATGAAAGGCGAAAGCAGCGATGCCGCCGCATATAAATCACGTGATTCTCGTGCTAGACAATGCAAAAGGAACATCTTCAGAGGATTCAAGGCACTAAGGTCCAAAATAGAATACTAGTCGATAAATGTATTCAGCATTAGGATGGGGAGTTCTACAAATCGGCGACATGTTTCCTTTTGAAGATTTTCCAACCGCTTAAAGATGCGTTGTTCAGGTGTTGTGAGATGAAAAGCGTATGCACCTTTTATCATTCTTTGAAAACTTGACGGCAATAAACAGTGGTATATGTGCCTGTATCTTAGACGAAATTGATCGTAAGACAGCAAGATGTGTAAAGTTTACAGACTGGTTTCGATGGTAGTTTTTTTTTAATGAAACTTTCTGGCTTTTCCTCCATGAAGGCGTCTTGGGAGGCCAAAACGGGCCCTAGAATGTTAATGGATCTGTTGGCGCTAAATGATCCAGTTTCTACAATCTTGTGAAACATCATGGTTGGTAGACTTGGAAGCATGTTGGGTTGGGTTTAACGTCGTCATGTGGCAGATTAGTGGGTGATACCGGTAGAGCGTGACCCATTTTTTAAACATATTGCGTCAGATATACTTTCCATTACTCTTTGCCTTTTTCAGGACTGTGGTTTCCGTTTCGTCATACAATCGAAACTGATTATTCAAACGGGTTTGGGGTTTGAATAAGTAAAAGACAAAGCGATTTGAATGTATCATTTAGCACAACACATTACCACCAGAAGCAGAACTGTTATCAAGATCAGTTACTCATTCCTCTACCCTTTGTGGATCCCTAGGTCCCGAGAACCCAGTATTTGGCCTTGCACGAATTTGTAGCCTAACTACCAGTGTAGATAGTTGTCATGCTATCAACCAATGATGTCCACAGCCAAGACTCGGATTTGTCAGGTGATGGTACACAGCTGAGGTCTGGCGTTAACAAACAAATCAGTTACTGACTGGAAGTGTCACAGAGAAACTGACGACCCACAAAAAGTGACTGGTTCAGCTAAAACAACCCCCTTCAATCGGAAAGGGCCTTCGGTGTGACGAGCTGACGCTCTAATCACTAGGATAGTTCACTCATTGACTCATGCTAGTTAACAGATGTAAAACACTATCCTATCACAATATATTCGTTTATCATACAAAGCTGTGTCCCACAGGAGACATTGCTTGTGTGAGATCAACCGATATCTCCTAAAATATATCGTTTTTACAGTAGATTTTGTACAATGTCCTGTCAATGTTATGACGTCATGAACTTGATGACGTCACAATGATATGACATCGCTGCACTGCAAGTCTACTGGCTGTATCCTGTTCAGAAATGTACATTTTTCATTGAAAACTAATGAAGAGTGATTGTTGATGATAAATAGAATTTCAACATCGTGTCTTCTGATTATCAATTATATCAGCACGAGCTGATAAATTTACAAATATCGGAACAAGACTTGATATATACTGAGTCAAAAAAGAAACTTCACATTGTTTCTACAGGGCACTATAAAAGAACAAGAGATGGTAAGATGGTCAAATTGTTATTATTTCATTGCTGAGATCTGTGTGATGTACTCGATACACTGACAGTGCCATAATCACTTCCATTAGGCTACACCGCCCTTCCAAAACATGGGTATACAGAATGTCAAGTCACAAGAATAAAAATGCGAAATTTCTCAGTTCAATATCGTGTATGGCCGCCCCGCGCATTCACCACTGCCAAACACCGTCTCCTCATCGACTGCCTGATGCTTGTGAACACGTGGTTGGGGATTCTGCGCCATTGCTCTTGCAAGGCAGCGCAAAGTTCCTGCAAATTCTGAGGTTGGTTCCTAAGACCACGAAGCCTTCTCCCAAGTGCATCCCAAACGTGCTCTATTGGATTAAGGTCAGGGGACCTCGATGGCCAGTCCATGACGTTGATTCCAGCGTTTTGAAGGAAATTTCGTGTCAACATCGCGGTATGCGGCCGAGCATTTTCATGCTGGAACTGTAGACCTGGGCCATGAGCCGCCATGAAAGAAACGAGTTGAGGGGTGATCACCTGGTCGCGGTAAGCAGCAGCTGTGGGGTTTCCACGGATGACCAGAAGTCGGGAACGGTTGTTCCCAGAGAAAGCACCCCACGCCATGCAACTTCCGCCCCCGAATCTGTCGACTTCCTGTACACAACATTAGTCATACCGTTCACGACGTCGTCTCCAGACTCTATGCCTGCCGTCCGCGAATCTGAGGGTAAAATTGGATTCATCGCTAAAGACGACTCGATTCCAGTCTCTCTGGGTCCATCGGAGGTGACGTTGGGCCCACAGCAGACGTTGACGTTGATGAAACGGCGTCAATATTGGCCCACGATATGGACGTCGAGAATGGAGATTGGCAGCCCGCAACCGATTTCGAATGGTCTGTGAGGACAGTCGACCTCTAAACATCTCAGCCCTGGTTCGTGTAGCCGGCAGCAATCTGTCACGTAGGTGACGTAGGACGATTTGACGGTCTTCTGCTCGTGACGTCACACGTGGACGACCCGACCTTGGGCAATCAGAAGTGGTGCCAGTTTATTGTAGACGACCTCGCAAGTCATACACAGTACGACGGCTGCATCCCATTGTTCTTGCGACGTCAATAACTGATCTTCCCGCTTGCAACATGCCAACGGCACGTTCACGTTGCACATTTGACAATCGTGGCATTTCAAGTACCGTTAGAACTGTGGTTTAAAAGTGTTTTTTCAATCCTTGAGGCCAATGCAAACACGTGCATATGGAGAAAACTTCGATGCGAAGATCACGTGATCGACTGCACATGCAAAACCTGATTTGGCACTAACATCATTTGCACGACGAATGGGTGGGTTTGAGTGGGTTTTGCTAACGTTTTTCTAGAGTCGAAAGATAGGGATCCCATTTCGGATACATAGATGTATCATCAGAAAAAAATTATTCATTATTTTTCAAATTACATTTTGTGAAGTTTCTTTTTTGACTCAGTTTATTTGATATCAATAGAAACTTGGGTGAGATTCTCTATATATTGCAGAAGCAAATATCTTCACAAAGAAGCTAATAGATATTTGGGCCCCATTTCTATTCCCAGTTGTGTGATTTAACAAAGTTAAAGCTGCAATTACTTTGAAGCACATCTCCCAGGAAACATGGTTTGACGTTATCCAGACAATATCTCGTGGGTGCCAGTTTTGGAGATGTTGTGATGTTATACTTACAATGGGCCTTCAGAAAAGACAATATAAAGTATAAAGAATAAAACAAAGTTTGTCTGGGATGTCTGGGGAAATGTTATCTGCCAGAGGAGTCCGGGGCATGGCTGCTCTTGACCTACTTCTGTTTAAGGATCTTGTGGAAAGTCCAAGTCCTGCATGTGGTAAACGGAAGCAATGCTTGTCACACAGATATATATTACACAGCTGATAATTCATTAAGGACAAAAAGTCCTCCAAAATAACACATCGTCCTATAGCTTACCTGGTCCTCTTTCCCCCTGAACGCCAATCCTCTTCCTCCCCAGCCGTCGCTTCCTATCCAGGCAAACGTCCCTGTTGCCTTCTTCCGGTTTACTGCCTCCATCAGCTCCCCCACTTCCTGGTCAGACCCGAATATGATCACCCCTGGAACAGAATGGATCAACCCAAACTTATCACCCCTGGAACAGAATGGATCAACCCAAACTTATCACCCATGGAATGAAATAAATGATATCCCGATTATATCGCCGTTAAAGAAACGTTAAAGAGGCGGTGACAGTTTGGTTTCACAGTTTCTATCATAGGAACTAAACAGTCGCCGTGAAAACAAACTTATTATTGCAGAGTTCTGATTATATGACGTCAACGTATTGTTAGTGATAATGGTGATAAACCCCGAGTAGTTCATTGACGTATAAGATGATGAGAATTAGAATTGTGTATTGGACATTAAGTCTGTAGAGTGTTTCGACGCCGTTTCTCAGCCAAGTCACGTTTTGTAATTGTTGTAACTTGGTCAAGTCCAGTTGTCGAGTGCCTGCCAACACGTGTGAAGTATCTCAAACGTTCGACATCATTGGCAGAAACAACAATCACTACTGTACCTTGAAATACATCTTTAAAGAAACTACTGCAAAAGGGTTATTTTCTGAAAGGCTCTTCTCAAACATCATGCCACAACACGTGTAGGTACAAATACTTACAAGGATTAAATATTAGACAATGACGATAGACTAAACCTTGGAGAGAGTGTGTCCCATGTGTTCACATTGTTTGTCATCAGACCTGTTGTGAGTGGATTGCGTTTTATGCCGAGTGAGCAGATCAACAATAAGGGGGCCAACTGGCGTCCCTGGGGAGGACTGCTTGTTGTGCTATGTCTATGTTACGTGTTATCTGTGAGGACGTGCAGCATTCCATGTGTTGTTTCAACAGATGAGATTTGCATTTATTACCTACGAGGGCGAACATATCGGGGTTCATATTTTTCATACGATGCCCTAGGGCAAAATATAACTTTGTCATGGTGACGTGACGTCATGAACAACTCTATGACGTCACGTTTCTTCTGTGACGTTGCGTTCTACATGCGGCGACGGCGGGTAGCAAACCTATGTTTGAAAGTAGATTTGGTATATTTTCCTCAATTTGACGACTTCGGTAATAAACAGAATATTATATTTGTGCTCATATCATATTATGTTTACAACACCCTTGCCTAAATATTGGTATATCCCTCGCTCTCGCTCGGGAAATACCAACATTTAGGCACTCGTGTCGTAAACATAGTATGACATGGGCACTCATATAATATCCTCTATATATCGACGTTACGTTATGATACCTTGACACCTCGACTATTACTGGTAAACCAATACTATGATGTTGTACAAATGTATTCTTGTAACCAGGCTACGTTGAATTTTAATAATGAAGTTTGTTTGTATACTTAATATCGAATTGGTAATTTTTCTCATTGACTGAAAACAGAATGCAAAATATTATCAATAACATTGATGCAAATGTTCGATAACCACTGTGAACCACAGTCTATCTGCTGCACAGTCAATGCACAGACAGGTCAAGCTTTCTCCATAACGGACCCCCACAGACGGGTACATCTGGCCACATCTAATGAAAACGTCATTTCATTTCCGCTTTGCTGAAATAGAAACACCGATCTGTCAATATTCTACCAACCCAGTAGGCATATTTCATCAATTTGCCATTTGACAAATAACTAAAACATTTTACACTTTCTCTACTTTTTGCGCACTGCAGTAAATTGGAACATCAATTTTAATCAAATAGGGGTTAAGATGTAGATTTCACCGACTTTTTATATGGAATGAAGGAGTTGGAGACACTTAACACCTCAGTAGATTCCATAGAGATACAGAGTAGAATATAAACAATGTGGAATACTGGGATATTTCTTTGAAGGTTTCATTAATGTTGACATCCGAGTTAGTCTGTGGACTATAAATCCAAATAGAGTTTTTTGAGCATCAATCAGAGGCAGCGAACCGGTTGGCCTTGTGGGTCGGGGCTGCTCGGAAAAAATAGAGATAGATGTGGCTTCTTTTGATAGCTGTAATTGACTTATATGGAAGATGACGAATGATCATTTAGACAGCTTCTTTCCTGGACTATTGACCAAGGAAATCCCTGAGCTCGGCTATTTCAGCGTATCAAAGCGTGGTCGGGGTGAAACGGCTTGACATTCAGTAGGTTTAAATGTTTGCCATTTTCGAGGCATACTTGGGTGAGTGTGTTGGAGTGGTGTGTTGGGGACAGCACACATTCAACTTAATCATGTCACCCTGCACTATGTAAACACATGACAAAAAGGCTTTCATTCCAAAACGTTTCGATCTATATATATCCAACCTACAATGAAGTTAGTTCCAAAGTAAATACCATCTTTCCTAATTATGACTACGTAGTGAGTGATTTGGTTTAAGCAGGATGGAGAGTCTTTCAGGGCCTGCTGGGAAAACGTTTCTAAAGTGATGGCGATGGTGTCACCCACTTCGGTAGAAATGGCATAGTGCTGAGGAAGTGTAATCCTAAATGGAACATGTGTTACATCTGACCACGATGTAAAGGGCAGTGTGCTTTAAATTTCTTGTGCAGCTGACGTGACCTGCCTTCCATAACGGGCAAGGCTGCTCCAGCCATTGTTTGCCGCTCTGTATGTCGTATACGAAGGGGCACCTGCTCTCGTGTTGTACTCACGTCTTCATGGGTCGTTGTTGGCGTTGACGTCGACGCCAGAGAATGTCCATCTTGATGTTCTGGCACAATAGACTCCTTTTGACGTAATAGGTAGTGGTGAAGATTTTTATGAATGGATCACTGAGGAGCAGTGGTGACACCAGGTGTTCTTCAGAACCGGTAGCACCATCACTCACACAATTCACGTACAGTGGTGTTTGTTAACTGTCGCCGTAATGCTGTACTTATACTCTACAACAGCTGCGATCTGACAGCAATCGAGCCTTGGCAAGACAATCAAGCGATGGACAAAAGCCAACAGTTGGACACTGCATGTTCCTCAACTTTGTCAGTTCTCCAAAGGTCACAGTCTCCGGTGCTCATTCCGCTGAAGACAACTTGTAAATATGTTTCTTTGACATCACAAAACAAATTTCACTTTTACACAATTTGTTCTATGTTCGGTTCAGAACGGTATCAGTATATACTTGTGGATGATTGGGCACAGTGCCGCTAACATTGAGCAATTTCCCTATCGTCCATTTAAGGGACAACATTCGTGAACATTTTAATCTGAAGGTTACAAGCCAAGACGCGAACAGAACATCAGCTTCGTTTAGTTGCAGTGGTCAGGGCGTCTTCCCAGAGCTCACCATTCCATCCTCGACCGCGTCCTGCCGAACACCACTGCGTGCTCCTTGATCTCACATCCAACAAAGGGACGTAACTCTGAACAGAACTGGCCTCCCCTTCGACGACCGGTGACCATGTGAAACCGCCATTAACATTACACCAAGATAAGCTCTGACCAACAGCTTTGGTCTGCCCCCAGTCCATCTGATACGAGGAGATTAATCCGGGGACAATATATGCAAAAACATGGTGGAAGGAACCGTTTCATCTCTCTCACGGGGCCAGCTGATAGTGAGATAGCGTGTTTACAAGTTTTCATTGATGTCTCTCTCTGATTGGAAGTCCTCACTTCATGTGCAGCAGAACGACACACAAGAAGCTTGTCCTTTGTGGGGTTTCTGATCCCTTATCTGTGTATCAGTTCCCTAGACTTACTGACTGAGTTTGGTTTTACGCCGCTTTTAGCAATATTCCAGCAACATCACGGCGGGGGACACTAGAAATGGGCTTCACACATTGTACACATGTGGGGATTCGAACCCGGGTCTTCGGCGTGACGAGCCAACGCTTTAACCACTAGGCTACCCCACCGCCCCATCAGTTCCCTGGAACTGGTGACATATGCAATCCTCTGTCACATCAAGTATATAAGCCAGTAATTGCCCTCGTCCAAGCTCCTTAGCTTGCTGTAAGAATTGATCAATATGGGGATCGGATGGTGTCATCACCCCTAAATGCCCCTGCTAATGGCTATCGTCCAACTGTATACATGGCTATGTAATAATAACCTAGCAGTCACTCCTCACTCACTCACTTCATTAACACATGCATTTTAGGAAACTCTAGCGGCGTCTTTTCTGTCCGGTTTTGCTTTTAATTGAAAGAATATACGAATTGAAGAATTTAAAGAACCAACTTGTTTCCCATGACTGCAGTTTGAACACTTGTAAACACAAATCTATGCTACGTAACATTTGAAACTAAAACACTATAATAGTTTATATCAGCTTTGCCGAGGCATATCAATGATGTGTTCTTCTCCTAACGTTCTACAATCTGCCTCAGTATCAACCAGCAGGAGTTTCATGACGTATCTGCCTGCCGTGATTTACAACTAGGACGACAATTAATTACGTCCTTCTGTCGACGTGCTAGTGTTTACCAAACTACCCCAGAGAGGCAGAGCACGCTCCACGTGAGTCGAGTAGGGTAAACAGTCAACTCGAACAGTAAACAATATTAGTCTTAAGTAACAAGCAATAATCTAATCTAACGCTGTTTATTTGATTGTGGGGAGGTTCCGACTGTGGGGGATGTCCATCACAACATACGATTCCTCATCAACCGCCCAGAGTGCCCGGCAGGTCAGCCAAAACAAACCGGAACGGTTTGGTCGAATCAGCTTATTCATTAATAGGGAGAAAATGGACAAAGTTAAACAAACATTTCAAAACGTTTCATCTGATATACAAACGTAAATTGTGATATCAGGGAAAATGCCAACTGGCCATGTTCCACCATCTTGAAGCTGCTAAGGATTAAATCAATAACACATCGGTCACACTTCAGGACCAGTGTATCTTATTGTGCTGATCAGACAGAGAGACAAGTTATATTAACACCTTAAAGTGGTTAATACCTGTATCTAAAGCTGTTATTATTCACCCGTATTACATACCACGTGTACATCCATGGAATACTAGCGGGGCAGCAGTTCTTCTTCACATTAAACGTCACTCATAACTAAATGTTGTAGTTATGTCGTGATAGCGTTACTACATTTCTTCTTGTAT